CAGGGGCTCGGCGTGTGCCCATCACCGGCGGGGCCGTCCCACGGCTCCGGGGCCGCGGCTCCTCCCTGACCGTGGGAGCAGCCCCCGGGAGTCCCCTCCGGGCGGTCACCGCCCGGGGTGGCAGCGAGCGGGACAGCGAGCGGGGCGCTGCGGGAACCGGCTCCGCCGCCCCTTTTCCCCGGGATCCCCGTGGGTGGGCTCTGTCCCCAGGGACCGAGGGGACACCCGGCGCCCCGACACGGGTGATGCCCTCGGGCTGGGCCGGGGGTGCCGGAGCCCCGCGGGGTGAGCGGGTCCCCTCGGCCCGGGCTGCGGCTCCCGGCGTGCTCCGCTCCCGCCTTCCCTCCCTCCTTCCCTCCCTCCTTCCTTCCCTCCTTCCCTCCCTCCTTCCCTCCGCTGCTCCTTCCCAGCATCCCCGCAGCATCCCCGGCAGGTTTGGCTCCTGTCACCGGAGCGCGACGGGCGCGGGTGGCCGTGGGACCCCGGCCCGCGGCCGTGGGGGGCTCAGCCCCTTGGTTCCCGCTCTGGCCAAGCCATTGCGAAGGGACAAGTGACCTTCTCGCTGAATTCCGAGGGGATTTGGCACGCTGGGAATATTTTGGGCTTTCCAGGTCATTTCCCGCTGCCCACCCTGTCCAAGCACATCCCACGGCACGAGCCGGATATTCCTTTTCCGAGCACAAATCCCAGGGGCACTCGTGGTCCCTCGGGGAGGCGGGGGCTCTTTGCACGGTTTGAGATTGCACGAGGTGATAAGCATGTTTGATCTGGCTCCTTTCATCTCGTTAATCTTAATTAGTTATTAATATTCCGGGAGTGCTTTGAAGACCAGGAGCTCCGTGCGGGCGCTCCCTGGTACAACTGGTGTTACTATGGCTCAGTGTGCGTGCCACCCACGTGCCACCGCGGGGCAGGGACACCCCAGAGGGACCTGACGGCCCCCACGGAGCCCCGTGGAACCCCCCGGAGTCACATGGAGCCCACAGAGCCTCACAGAGCCCACGGAGTCCCAAAGAGCCCTGCTGAGCCCTACAAAGTCCCATGAAGACGTACTAAGCCCCATGGAGCCCCGATGAGTCCCATGGAACCGCACAGAACCCCACAGAGCCCCACGGGGTCCCACAGAGTCCCACAAAGCGCTGCCAAGCCCCACGTAGCCCCACGGAATGCCAAGAAGCCCTGCCAGGCCCAGCTGGTCCCAGTGCCAGCTCGGCCCCTGTGTTCCCAGGACACAGCACCGGGATGGTGACATTGGGAGCTGACCCACGCGTGGGGTGTGTGACACTGTCCCTGCAGCCCCTCCATGGTCCCCGGGCTGGCTCCCCGGGCACCGGCACCTCCCGCCTGACCTAGAAACAGCCCGGAGCTATAAATAGGGAGAGAGCTGACAGAGAGCTCGGAGGAGCCGCGGGCGGGAGGCTGCGGGAGCCAGGACGGCACCGCAAGGACAGGCAGGGGACACGGGGGGAGAGGGGCCTCGGGAGGGGGCGAGCCTGGGGCCGCCCCATCCCTGGCGGCCCACGGAGCTGCGGGGACACCGAGCGCAGCCCAGCTCTGCCCATCTCCCCCGTTTTCCTCTTTCGCTCACCTCCACTGCTCAGAGGCTCACCTGCCCCGTGCCAGCCCCGTGCCAGCCCCGTGCCAGCCCCGTGCCAGCCCCGTGCCAGCCCCGTGCCAGCCCCGCAGCGGCCGCTCCGAGCAGCGCCAGCCCCTACCCAGCCCAGCCCGGCTGGCCGGGGCATTGCCTCCAGCATTTCTCCTCGCTGCGCCATTCCGATGCCTCCACCCCGCTGGGAATCACCCACCCGTGGAGCGTCCCCGCCACAGGAGCCGGGGGCTGTGGCAGGACCCGAGCGGAGGGGGATGGCGGGGACCGGCCCCGGGAGCCGCCGCCGCTGCCCCCGCGGCCCTGCCGGGGCTGGCGGGGCCCGGTGCGCAGCTACCGGGCGGGAAGAGGGTGACAGTGGCACAGCCGATGCTGGCACAAATTAAAGCGGAGCGTCGGAGTGTGATTCAGCCTCTTGCCTTAAAGTCATTCATGAAAAGCCTTAATTGCTCTGCATCCTCGGCTCGAGCGGAGCGGAGCCATCGGTGAGTCAGTGCCCATGGCTCCCCGGCCCTCCCCGCTTTGTGGGGGCTCAGGGGCCAGTGGCACGGCCCCGGTCCCAGCGGATGTGTGGGAACAGTCCGTTGTCCCCCTGGGAGGCTGGGGCAGCCCCACCACTGTGGGTCCCTTTAAAGTGACATCGCTGGAGCGAAGGGACCTGGCACCCAGCTGAGAGAGAGACAAGGAAGTCCCAGAGCAAATGCTGGCCAGTGTTAAACATCCTGCTTGGCCTTGGTGGGCACAGAAGGAAATCCGAGAAGAAGAGGTGTGTTCAGGGATGCTCCAAGAGGGAGCACAGTGACAACCCCTCGCCTTCCTCCGGCAGAGCTGTCACTGTCCCCCAGGCTGGAGGTGCCTGGGAGCTCCTGGTGCCCACCTCTGGCATCACTTGCTGAAAGTGTCGCCAAATTTAAGGCACCTGAAGGGAAACCCCCGTGTTATGTTTTCTTCACCCTGGCTTGGCCTGAACGTTCCCACCATTCATGAACCATGGGGAAAGCCACATGTCCTGCACACACTGAGGAGCAGCATTCTGGGGGGCTGCCTGTGCCATGGTGGGCATCACCTGTGCCATGGTGGGCATCACCTGTGCCATGGTACCTCAGGCTGCCCAGAGAAGCTATGGCCACCCCATCCCTGGAACTATCCAAGGCCGTGTTGGATGGGGCTTGGAGCAGCCTGGAAGGTGTCCCACGGCAGGGGTTGGGATGAGATGATCCTGAATGTCCCTTCTAACCCAAATCATTCCCTGACCCACGGTGGGCATCACCCACACCACGGGGGCATCGCCTGTGCCAAAGGAGAGGGAACAGAGTCTTGGAGGGCTGAAGGACAGCAGGGCCCAGGGAAGCAGCGGGCAGCAGGACATGGTGCTGTGCTCGGGCACGGCGGCTGCCCAGCGCCGCTGACCCCCGACCAGCCTGGGGTGGGGCAGGGCGTGAAGCCGCTCCGGGCGGAGCGCCGCTCCCACCCCCATTGTCCCGGCGCCGCGCTCTGCCCCGAGCCGAGCCCGCGGTACCGGAGCTCCGCAGCCGGCGGGGAGGGGGCGGCTCAGCCCCGACCCCCCTTTCCTGGGCTGCTCCCGCACCGATTCCCCCCGGCTACATCGGGGGGCGGGGACAAGCAGCGCCCCGCATCGCGCATCGCTCATTCCGCATCCCCCCATCCCCGCGGGGCCGGCGGCGGAGCCCCCCCGCTCCTCCCGCTCCTCCCGCTCCTCCCGCTCCGCGCTCCCTCCCCGGGGCGGCGCCGGTGCCGGTGCGGGCGGAGCGCGGCGCGGGGCGGGCGCTGCCGGGGGTTGCGGGGGGCGCCGCGCTCCGCTCCCTCCGCTCCCTCCGCTCCCTCCGCTCCCTCCGCTCCCTCCGCTCCGCTCCTCCGGCGGCGGCGGGGCCGCGGCATGAGGAGCCCGGCGGGGCGGGCGGAGCGCGGCGGCGGCGGCGGCGGCGGCGGCTCCTCTCCCGCCGGGGACGGGGCGCGGCGGCGGCTCGCCCCTCCGGTAAGGCGGCGGCGCGGGGATGGGGCGCGGGCACGGGGGTGCGGGGATGAGGATACGGGGATGGGGCTGCGGGGATGGGGGTGCGGGGGGCGCTGCCCGCCGGGTACCGAAGCCGCCCTTTGTTTGCCCGCGCGGCGCGGGGAGGGGACAAAACCCCCATCCCGGTACAACCGGCGCTCCGGGATGAATGGAGCGGGGTGGGCACCGCGCCGTGCGGGCGCTGCCCCCGGGATCGGTTCTTCCCCCCGCCCCGGATCCCTCCTGCGGCCGGTGGCACCTGCGCCCCGGGCGGCCCCGGTACGGCGGGGGGGCGAGAGGGAAGGACGGGGACGGAGGGGCGTGAGTGGCACCGAGCGGTGCTGGGGCCGCGGGGCTGGTCCCCGGGGGCTCCCGGCGGGTTTGGGGGTGTCTGGAAGGGTGCACTGAGCTGGAAGGAAGGCAGCTGGGAACAGGGGAAGGGGAGAGCAGGGAGAGGCGGCCTCGGGGGCAGCTCAGGCCGTGTCCCCTCCTGTCCCCTCATTGTGTCCCCTTGTGTCCTCTCATCACCTCCCCATCTCATCTCCCCTTGTTTCCCCTCATGTTCCCTCACCTCCCCTTGTCTTCCCCCGCCAGCCTCCTGTGTTCCCTATTACCTCCCCTCGTGTCCCCTCATGTCCTCTTGTCATCTCCCCTCATGCCCCGTCCATCATCTCCCCTCGTTTCCCCTCATTGTCTCTCCTCATTGTGTCCTCTCGTGTCCCCTCATCATCTCCCCGTGTCATCTCCTCTCGTCATCTCTCCTCGTCTCCCCTCGCATCGCTTCACCGCGTCCCCTCCTGTCTCCTTGTGTCCCCTTTCACCTCCCCTGTCTCCCCTTTCACCTGCCCCGCTGTCCCCTGCTGTCCCCTGGCCGCGGGCCGGCCTCCATCCCACCCGGCGTCTCCCCGGCCGCAGCGGGGAAGGGGAGCGTGACCCACTTTCCTCCGGCTCCGGCCTCGCTGCCGCCGTGGCCGCGGGCGGGCGACGCCAGCCGGGAGCCCCAGCCCAGCTCGGGGAGCGGGGACAGGGCGGCCCGGGCCCGGCACCCCTCTGTCCGGGCCCCGCGGGGCGGCGGAGGTCAGAGCTGGGTGTCCGTGTGCCGAGCCCGGGGTCGCCGTGTCCCCGCGCCCTGCCCGCGGGGCTGCGGGAGGGACCCCGGCAGGGGTGGGAGCATCCTCCTCCAGCGGAGCGGCCCCGGCGGCGGCAGCCGGGCTGCGGCGATGCCCGGCCTGCCCGGGGCACACAGAGCGCCGTGGAGCGGAGTCGGGGCTGGCTGTGTGGCAGAGGCCGTGTCCCTGCTGTCGCCAGGAGCGAGCGGGGCCGGGGCCGGCCGGCCCTGCCGTGGGTCGGGCAGGTGCCGCTCGGGGCGTTTGTCTTTGCAGATCCCAACCGTGCGGTGCTGTCGGCGCTGGCGGAAGAGTTTTGGGAGGGAGATGATGACAGGCTGATGAAACCAATCAAACAATGAAGTAATCATAAGTGCCCGGTGCCGGCGGCAAAGGCGGGAGGAGCTGCAGGCTGGAGGAGCTGAGGTCCTAACGAAGCCATCCTGCTCGGCAGCAAAAACCCCGGGAGGCCAGAAGCTCTGAAAGGCAGCCAAGGTCCTGTCATCGGGGCCGATGGACAGAGACAGCCCCGTGCGCATGAGGGCAGGGAAAATCCTGCTGGCAGCTCCGGAAGAGCAGCGCGGAGGGCGCAGGGGACGGTGGCAGGAAGGAGGAGCGGTGGCTCCCCGGGGAGCCGGCGGAGGACAGAGTCCTGGCACTGCTTTGTTCGCTCTTCCCAAATCGGTCTGTGAAACCTGAACCCCGGGACCAGAGGCTGAGGAAGCTCGTCCCAGGCTGCTGGCCAGGACGGGAGATGGTTCCTGCAGCCATGGATGGGTGTGACAGGGCCTGACCCTGCCCTGCATCTGGAACATCTGCACTGGGAGAGCAGCTCCTGCCACTGGGAGCTGGGCATTCATTGGCTTTGGAGAGGAGAATCTGCTGTGCCAGGTCTGGGCAAGGAGCTGGTATGAGAATTGCTGGATAACCTGGAGTTCTGTGCCAATTCAGCCCTGCACTGGGGGCACTGGGGAGTCCCAGTTGCTGCGGGTGCTTCGCTGGAGGTTTGGTGCTGGTTCTGGAGGTGTCCCTGGTGCTCCAGCCTTGCCCGGCGCTGTCCCGCTGCTCTGGAGCCAGCTGCACATGGAGACGTGCCCCACCCATGGCCTCTGCTCCTGCTGGGCTGCGGGACGCTGGCAGAGAGGCTGTCCCCAAACCACTGCCAGCAGCCAATGTCCCCGTGCTGCGGGGACCAGCCACCTCCCAGACTCACTCGGCTTGTCCCGAGAGGCTTTGGATGGCCCCGGGGTGGCACACGGATGCAGGAACCCTTTCCCTGTGCCTGTTTTGCTGCTTTGGGTGAGGTGAGAGGTGGTGCCTGGCCAAGGTGGGTGCCGGTGGCTCTGCGCCCCGGTGAGATCCCTGTCCTGCCCCCACGGCCACGTTGTCCCCGTTAGGCCAAGGTGCCTTTGCGAGCCCTCCCCGGGCTCCAGCGTGCCGCAGCCCCCGGTAGCACAGCTCAAATCTGGAGTGCGGGTCCCAGCGGCGCGGAGGAGAGGAGAGGATGTCCCTGGAACGGGGTCAGGCAGGAATGGAGGTGGCAGGGGCTGGGAATGGAGTGGGGCTCAGCGTGGGGCACGGCCAGAGCCCCGCTGGCCCCTCGTTCCAGCGACACCGGGGTGGTGCTGGCATGTGGAGAGCTGGGACAGGGGACGGCTCTGGCAGGGCCCAGGGCGTGGCTTTGCTGGCTCAGTGCATTGTTATGGGGAAACAGAGCTTTGGAAGCTGGTTGGGGTGCAGAGGGAGGGAGGTCCCTCCTGAGGGATGCCCTGGCCTCCAGCCTGTTGGGCTTGGATGGGAGTTGGTGTTACCTGCTCGTAAGTGAGGGCTTGGGGATGGAATATGGTGAAATCAAATCTCTGCCAAGTGCAGGGACAGAGCAGTGTGGGCCTGTGCCCATCCCACTGCTGCAGCTCACATTTCTCCCCTTTTCAAAGAGGAATGCGGGTTTTGCAGAGCCCCTGCCCTGCAAAGATTTTCCCTTCATTTTCCAATGCCCCAGAACAGCCCACGGTGCGAGTCCCAGCCCTCAGTGCTCAACCGTGCATCAGGCTCAGCCCAAACCCTTTTCCTGTAACCTCCCTCAATAACGGAGTTGTTTTTCTGCCAGTCTCTGATGTGGCCAGAGGGATTTTTTTCCCTCTTTCCCTCTTAATTTCCAAGCAGCCGCTGCTCCAGCAGCCTTCTCTGCGGGAGCCTGGGGCAGCTCTCCCGGGCGGCCTCTGCTCCTCTCAATGAGCTCCTAATGAGTTTGCAATTAGTTATCGGCAGAGCGATGTGCCCAGGGCTGGGCGTGCGGCGGAGCGGGATGCGGAGCAGGGCAGAGCATCCCCCGGCAGGGAACAGCGCCGGGGCAGGGCTGTCGGTGCCAGCCTCGGCTGCTGGCAGGATGCTGGGCTGTGGCTATGGGATAATGTCCTTCCGGGATCTGCTCCACGCTGCCGGGGCTGGAGCCGGGAGGTTTGGGAAGAGGAGCGGCAGCTGCCGACGGGAGACGAGTGGCTGCCTATAAATACCTGCCAGGGAGCAAGGAAGAGGTGGGTGGATTATCCTCCTCACTCAATGAGATAAACGGTTCTGAAGCTTAAACACAGAGCAATTTTAGTCGGAATAGTAGGAGAAATGGCTCAGGATGCGGAGATGACGGCAGGAACCGCCTGTGGTGAGCGGCAGGTCCCGGGGCCACGTGGCAGCAGCTTCGCTGCCTCCCTGTCCCTCCGGGACCCGGAGCCGTGGGGCTTTGCCAGGGCTCGGCCGGGATGCGTATCCTTCCTCCCTGCTCGGGAAAGCGCCTCCAGGAGCACCTGGAGCTGAGCCGGAGAGGGGCGTTCGGCCTCCTTCAGACGCGGTGCTGGCTCCTGTGCCAGGCTTTCGGGGCGGGAGAGGAGCTGGGGTGCCGGCAAAGGCCCCGTTGGGGCTCTGGAGGGACCCGACCTGTGGCCACACAGGCGCTCCTTGGTGAGCCTGGCCTGGCTGCAGAAGGATGCGGGACCTCGATCCCGGCCAGGCCAAGCTGGTGGCACCCGGTGCCACACGGGCGCTGCCATCCCTCGGTGTCCCGCTGTTCCTGCGTGCCTGCTGTCCTTGGGAGCGCACGGAGCTGGAGCCGAGCTCTCGCTGCCTCCTGCTGCTGCCCCGCTTCGCTGCTCACATCCAACCCAACGTGCTTTCAAAAGCCTTTCCATTTTTAATGACAACTCCTGCATTGACGCTGGCCGTGGCCTCGGCGCGTCGGTATTTTGGTCACCGCCGCCGCTCGGCTCCTCCCGGGGTTGTTGGGTTGTTCGGAGCTGGCCGTGCCACTGCGGCAGGACCCCGGCACATCCCGGCCCTGGCAGCACATCCCGGTGCCAGCTGTGCCAGCCACGCCGCAGCACAGGGCCCGGCCCGGCGGGATCCCCGATGCCCATGGAGCTTCCTCGGTTTCTGGCTGGGAAGGAGACACCTGGAAACCCCAACAGGCTGAGCCAAGGAGAAAAGCGAGCAGCCCTTGAATTGGAGAGCACTTCCACAAGCTGCCAGTCCTCCCTCTCCTCTCTCCCATCCAACCAGCAGGGTTTTTCCTCAAACCCAACCTTCCCCACTTGAATAATTGCATTTCAACGCCGGTTAATTAAGGGACATTGATGAGCGCAACCGTAAATCCAAGCGTAGCCGGAATTCTTCGTGCAGGATGCTGGGGGCTGTTCTCAGTCCTGCCTCCAGCGAGCTGCTGCTGATCCACCTCCACCTCCAGCACCCAGACGCTGAGATGGTGCTCCTCTGCCAGGGGGCCAATGAAACACTGTGGAGATGAGCTGCTTCGGAGATCTTATGAGTCAAACTGTTACATTTTTGGAACATCATGATGTTGAAGTTCCTTTTCTATTTTTTCCCCAACTTCCCAGGGAAAAAAAATATAACTATAATAAGTGAAGAAGCTGAGCTTTGGTTTGGGATGACAGGGGGAAGGAAGGAAGGAAGGAAGGAAGGAAGGAAGGAAGGAAGGAAGGAAGGAAGGAAGGAAGGAAGGAAGGAAGGAAGGAAGGAAGGAAGGATCGGACTCAACCTTATTGGGAAGGGGCTGGGAGGATCCTTGTGTGTGAACCTGACTGTGGGGTGCTGCAGGTGCTTTGTGGGGTGCTTGGCATAATTTGGGATGGATGTCACAGCCCCTTGTGTGGGGCTCAGCTTGTGGGCACCCCCTGGGCTCTCTCTGCCCATCCTCACCCGATGCCCTCCCCTCATCCCTGGCTGCCCAGGGTTTGGGTTTCTGCAGTGATGGAGTGGAAGGCAGTGCCCTGAAGACATCAGAGGAGACGCTGGGGTGGTTTCACTGCTGTGGTGATGTGGTGGGTGACTCCGAGCTTGGATCTTCTTGTGAGAATGGTCAGAGTGAGGAGAAAACCATTCCTGGTTTGTTGGAAGTGAGGAATGTTGGTGCTGTTGTCCATGAGCTGCTGGCTGGGCCGGCCTCTGCTCTGCTTTGGTGAGATCCCACCAGGAATGCTGCATCCCGCTGTTGGTCCCCAGCACAGGAAAACCATGGATATGTTGGAGTGAGTCCAGAGGAGGCCACAATGATGATTATTGGGATGGAACACGCCCGCTGTGAGGAAAAGCTGAGAGAATTTGGATTTTTCAGCCAGCGAAAGAGAAGACTCTGGGGAGATCTTAAAGCCCATTTCAGTGCCTCAAGGGGCTTCAGAAGAGCTGCAGAGGGATTTGGGACAAGGGCCTGGAATGAGAGTACAAGGGGAATGGCTTCCACTGCCAGAGGGCAGGGATGGATGGGAGATTGGGAAGGAATTGTTCCCTGGCAGGGTGGGCAGGCCCTGGCACACGGTGCCCAGAGCAGCTGTGGCTGCCCCTGGATCCCTGGCAGTGCCCAAGGCCAGGCTGGATGGGGTTTGGAGAAACCTGGGACAGGGGCAGGTATCCCTGCCCATGGAACAAGATTGGCTTTAAGGTCCCTTCCAACCCCAAAGCAGTCTGGGATTCTGGGGTTCTCCACACCAGGGAGTCTGGCACCCCGGCTGGCAAAGGCCAGGAGCTGGTGCTGGTGGATGGTCACAGATGTGAGGGAGGGGTGTGCTGCAGAGCCACAGTGTCCCCATTGGTGCCAGGGCGTGGCCCTGGCTCTGCTCTGGAGCTTCCTGGCTGGGCTGAGACTCAGCTGTGAAGGGGACTCAGTACTGGAGTGGCTCTTGGGGTCCCTGCTGGGGACACAGCAGCAGAGGGGACCCCAAAGGGCCTTAGCTCCTCTCCTGCAGAGTGGCTGGGAGCACACCAGGCCTGAGAAAATGCATTCATGTGTGTGTCCCTGTTTGCATCCATATGTGTCCTTGTCCCTGTCTCTGCCATGTCTGGACCCCTCCCTTTGCCCCCAAACATCCACCCGGCCACAGCCCCTGTGGAGGCTGGAGCATCCCTCCAGAGCCACTGGGTTGGTGGCCCCTGGGGACAGAGGGGTGGCACTCAGTGGGGGCTGCTCAGCACCACCCTGGCAGCCCAATCCCCCTTCAGCATGGCTGGAGCCCTGGGGAAGGGACAGGACAGGACGGGGTGGGGTGGGCTGGGCTGGGATGGGACGGGGTGGGGTGGGACGGGGTGGGACACAATGGCCCTGCAGCCCCCACGGAAGCAGCGCCACTCTGCCTTGCAGCGCAACCATGAGCGCGGGCTCGATTGAGCAGGAGCCGTCGCGCAAGCTGGGCTGCTGCGGGGTGCCCCTCATCACCGAGGACATGCAGTCCCTGGCCATCCGCACCCTCTCGGGCACCGACATCACCAAGCACTATGACCTCATCCGTGAGCTCGGCAAGGGCACCTACGGCAAGGTGGACCTGGTGTCCCACAAAAGCACAGGTGAGGGGAGCGGGGATGTGCCGGGAGCGGAGCGCCGGGTCTGTCCCAGCCGAGGGCTCACTCCCGTCCCCTGCCCTCCGCAGGCACCAAGATGGCCCTGAAGTTCGTCAACAAGAGCAAGACGAAGCTGAAGAACTTCCTGCGGGAATTCAGCATCACCAACACGCTCTCCTCCAGCCCCTTCATCATCAAGGTCTTCGACGTGGTCTTCGAGACCGAGGACTGCTACGTCTTCGCTCAGGAGTACGCCCCCGGTGGGGACCTCTTCGACATCATCCCGCCTCAGGTGGGACCCCCGGCACCTCCCGTGGCATGGGGGGGCTCAGGGGGTGCTGGGCAAAGCTGCCCCTGTGCTGTGTGCCCACGTGGGAGGGGCTGCAGGTGCAGGGACTGGGCACCCACATCTGGGCTGGGCTTGACCTCAAGCACCTACAAACAAGTGTGGGACCCATCACCCATCCTCTGGGTGGCCTAAGGTCCAACACCTGTCCCTAGGATGCTCTGAGACCCGTCACCCTTCTCCTGGGGAGCTTGTGGCTGCCCCATCCCTGGAAATGTGCAGGGCTGGGTTGGACGGGGCTTGGAGCAACCTGAGCTAGCGGAAGGTGTCCCTGCCAAGGGCAGGGGTTGGAACTGGACGATCCTTAAGGTCCCTTCCAACCCAAACCATCCTATGGGGAGCCAGAGATCCACCACGCATCTCTTGAGTGGCCCAGGCCCCACCACCATGCCCTGCCTCAGAGCACCCAGACGAAAGCACCCACGACCAGCAGGCCGTGGAGGTGCGGCTGCCCGGGCTGGGTGGGTCCCCCAGGGCTCGGTGGCGAGTGGCTGACGCCGTGTCCCCCCACAGGTGGGGCTCCCCGAGGAGCTGGTGAAGCGCTGCGTGCAGCAGCTGGGCCTGGCCCTCGACTACATGCACAGCAAGAGCCTGGTGCACCGGGACATCAAACCCGAGAACGTGCTGCTCTTCGACCGCGACTGCCGCCGCGTCAAGCTGGCCGACTTCGGCATGACGCGCAAGGTGGGCTGCCGGGTCAAGCGCATCAGCGGCACCATCCCCTACACGGCGCCCGAGGTGTGCCAGGCCGGCCGGGCCGAGGGCTTCGCCGTGGACACCAGCATCGACGTCTGGGCTTTCGGGGTGCTCATCTTCTGCGTGCTCACCGGGAACTTCCCCTGGGAGGCGGCGGTGGCGTCCGACACCTTCTTCGAGGAGTTCGTGCGGTGGCAGAAGGGGCGGCTGGCAGGGCTGCCCTCGCAGTGGCGGCGTTTCACGGACAGCGCCCTGCGCATGTTCCAGCGCCTGCTGGCCCTGGACCCCGAGAAGCGCTGCCCCGTCAAGGAGGTTTTCTACTTCATCAAGTGCGACCTCATGGCCGAGGTGCGGTGCCGGCCCTCCTACCGCTCCCGCAAGCACGCCAGGGACAAGCTCCCGGCCGGGCCCCACTGCCACGAGGCCGCCGGCTCCTGCACCCCCGCCCCGCTCAAGAGGACCGTCCTGACGGAGGCGAGCGGAGCGCGCGGCCCCGAGCCCGGCGCAGCCGCCCCGGGCACGGCGAGCAGGACAGACGGACGGCAGGACAAGGGCAAGGGGCAGATGGTCCTGGCCACAGCAATAGAGATCTGCGTGTGACGGCGGCGCGTGGCGGCCGCGCGACCGCCCCGTCCCCCCGCCCCGGGGACGGGGATGGGGGGAGTCCATCGTGGTGGCGGTGGTGGCACGAGCCGGGACCGGGCTCTGGGTTTCCCAAAGGAAGAAAAGAAAGGAAAAGAAACCCAATGGAAGAGGAAAAGGACAGAACTGGTTGCGCTCTGTAGCACCGAGGATGCCGATCCCCCCGCCCCGCCCGGGCGAGGCCGGTGGCCGGAGCCCCGCCGAGGGCACCACTCACTGCCGGGGAGGCTGGGGGCACCCGCGGCCCTGCCACGGCTGTGCTGCCCCCTCCAAGGCTCCCCCGGGGGGGCACGGGGAGGGGCGTCCCGGTGCAGGCAGGAAGAGTCGGGGGCAGTGGGCAGCGGGCAGCCCACCGGCTCTGCCCCACCCCGTGCCCGACCCTGCCCAGGGAGCGGGAAGGCCGATGACCCTGCACCGTGGAGGAGGCCTTTGGGGAGGGTTGGGTGGGTGATGATTTGTCCTCTTCCACTGGTCCCTGCCGCACTGCTGGGGTCTGGGAGGGGATGGGGAGGTGGGTGACGGGGAGCCGGGGGGTCACCCCGAACCCCCGGCAGCCCCGGCTGCCTCCCTGCCGTGGGAGGTGCTGGCAGCCATTGATGTAGCAAGTGTCCCTGTCTGTGTGTCATTGTGTGTCCCAGCCACTGCCCCTGGCAGCCCCTGTCCCCCTGCCCTGCCCCACACGGCTCAGGCCCTGCTGGAGGGATGTTCCCTCCGGCCGCAGCCGCTCCGGGCGCGGTGCCGGCCGTCCAGCGGGTTGGGTGCTCGGGGCCGGGCTGGCTCTTTGTACCCGGGGACTGGAGGAGGTGGCAGCGGCGCACCCCAGGCTGGCCCGCACAGCCCGGGAGCAGGGGAGGGAGCTCCGAGTGGCCTCCGTGGGTCCGCCTGCTTCTCTGTGCTGTCCCCATCACCTCTCCTTGCTGTCACCCCTTCCCCAAACCTGTCACCCTCCCCTGGGGCTGGCGGGGAAGCGGCAGCGGGACAGACCCTGCCGGGGCTGGCTGCAGCGAGGCAGGGCGTGGTGGCAGCAGCCACTGGTGGCCCCTTAGTGACAAAGTCCCGGGGTGTGCGTGGAGGTCACACCTTCCCTCCTGGATTTGGGCACCCAGCAGAGCAGGGAGCTCACCCCAGCGCCGTGGCGGGGAAGCTGTGGGGGCACCCCAAGGCAGCAGCACCCTGCTGCGGTTCGGGCTTCCCTCCCATGGGGCGGGTGCCGTGGGGCAGCCCCGGTGCCCCAATTCCCCACAAAGGGCTATAACGCTTTCCAGCAGCAGCAGCAGCAGCAGTTTACAGAGCAGGGGCCGCCCCCGCCCCCGCCGTGCCCCGTCCCCGGCACCCCCCGGGCCCGGCGTTAGACGTAGCATTGCCCCACGTAGAGAGCTAGGCACCGGTTTTACTCCTCTTTGCCTTAGGTCCCTCGATGTCCTCGATCTTTCGTGCAATAATGTAGATAAGGGATCCCGGCCACCCCGGGAGGGCTCGGTGGCACCGCCCGGCTGTGTCCCAGGGGGTGCCCGGTGTGATTTCTGTCCCCGTCGAGGTCGCTGTGTCCGTAGGTTGTCAGGTTTTTATTTCCAGTTCCCTCAGCTGTCGGGTTTCAGACCTTCTTCCCGTAGGAGAGGCTGTAGTGTCACAGACGTTACCTCAGTTTGTCACTGTTGAAAAGGATTTAAAAAAAAACCACAACTGAAACCATAAAAAATGACAAAAATACATAGTTATAAAAGCAACAAAAAATTTCTCAATGGCGGTGAAGACTTTTTTTTTCATTAACTAAAGGAAACGTGATGCTGCTTGTGCGGGGTTGGAGGGCACGGCCTCTGCCCTGCCGTGGCCTCAGCAGTGGCTGTCCCTCCACTTTCACCCTGTCACCACGGCCACCCCAGGAAGGGATGTGGGAGCAGCACCGTGGGGCACCTATGGGCGGGGGGACACCTTTGGGTGGGGGGCACCTTTGGGTGGGGGGCACCCAGCGGCCCTCGGTGCAGCCCCCTCCAAACAGCCAGGGCTGCCTGATGCCAAATGTATTCCAGCCACGTCCGCAGGCTAATTTCAATTTCCTGGTAATTATGCAAATGAATGTGGATTTAATTAAGGGCAGATTTCATTAAAGTCTTCTTGGGGAAATGAGAACGGGGTGGGGGAGAGCGAGGAGGAGGAGGGGGCGGTGGCAGGGAAGCAGAGATGAAGGCAGCGCCTGCCCCGGAAGATGAAGGGGCACAGGGGATGCGGAGGGGATGCACGGGATGCTTTGGGAGCGCTGCAGGAGGCCAGAGCTGTGCGGGGCACGGCCGGGGCAGTGCGGGATGGAGGCCGGGCAGTGCGGGATGGAG